GGAAAAAGGCTCGTTGTGGAAATAAATACAACAGCCTCTAGAAAGAGGCTCTGGGTGGGTGCCCCGGCCTTGGACACTCAGTGTCAATGTGCTGTGGAAACCTCAGCAGGGTATAATGACAGTGAGTCCACCATTTTCTCCAGAGGAACTGATCTCTGCTACCTAAAGAACAATTGTAATTTTGAGTGATCTCCAGCCCTCACCTGGAGATTGGCAACGATGGTTCCCCAGAAGGGAATGGTTGCTTTGGAGGGTGGAGTCTATGGCTTTGTACCTGTCCAAGGTCCCATGCCTCCTGAAACCTCACCCTCTCCAGGCTCCATCCCTCACATCTCCAGGAATTTCCCACCTGGAGTTGGCAACCCAATCTCCTTCCTAGTCAATCATCAACTTACCTTTATTTCCCCCTCACTCTTTGGCTTTCCAGCCCCCACACACCTGCAGCCTCTCCCGTGCTCTGAAGCCCTGACTGCTACGTCACATTGGCTGTCATACGGGGGCCACCTCAGTAGCATATAAGGATACAGAGCCCACCATTTTCTCCAGGGGAACTGATCTCTGCCATCTGGAAAGCAATTGTAATTCTGAGTGATCTCCAGCCCTCACCTGGAGATTGGACACATTTTACCTCAAAACAGCAAACTGTTTAGAATGTTAGAGGCAAAAGTCAATCAAATCGCATATGCAAACAACCTCTGTGTTCTCAGGCCCCGCCCTCCCGCACCTCACCCGGGGGGATGGCGTCCCCCCGCGTCCCCCCCCAAATGACCCCTGCGAGGCAAAGGCCAATGAGGCTGCATATGCAAATAACCTTTGTGTTCTGACTGGCTATGGGGGGGAGATGAACAGCAAACTGTTTAGAATGTTGGAGGCAAGACTCAAGCAATGCAGCCAGTGGATAGGGACAGATTCTGAGTGACACACCAGGGCGCCGACCAATTCCGGAGCGTGTGGAATGTTCTAGAGAAGGGCCACCACCATTCGGCTTATATATATAAGGGAGATTCCTTAACAAGCCTGATTTACAGCCATCTGTTCCTGCACTTACTCAGAACTGCTATCATTAAGCAGCTGGCACCAAGCCAAGAGGCGAGCACTCTGTGTGTTCTTAAGTCTTGTCCGAGCCTTTTTCCCTTTGCTGTTCAATTAACAAAGGGGAGCCTGGTGGGCTACTTTACTGCAGCTGTGCTTCGTCAGCTACTTCAGAGCTATGCCTGGGTGGGTCAAGGTCAGTTGCCAGCAATGGGTCTTGAGGCTCCTGTATCTCTAATTCACTAGTGTAGCTGGTTTAGAGCTGGCTGCATGTGGCTCCTCAATTCCTGAGGAGTCTTCAGCCACACTGGACTGAGGCTGGTCAAGTTGGCCCATGATAAAGTAAACCCACAACAACTTGATGGGCACCCAGCCCCACCAGACGACCAGGGGAAGCATGCCCACAACTCTCCCAGCCCCTTCCCCCAGGGCTGAAACACTGCAGTGAATTATTCTACTCTGCAGCAGAAAGGAAACACCTGTTGAGCCAGCTGGGCCAGACAGATATGGAATGACAGAAAGGCAGACATGACAAGACTTTTGACAGGGGTTCCCTGAAGTCACCCCATGACAGCTTGGCAGGCACCCCAGCCCCACCAGACAAGCAAGGGAAGCATGCCCACAACTCTCACAGCCCCCCCCTCCCAAGGGCTGAAGCACCATGGTGTATTCTTCTACTCTGCAAAGGAAACACCTGTCAGGCTGGCTGGGCCACCCACAATTCTCCAAAGGCAGATTTGGAATGACAGAAAGGCAGATATGACAAGACTTCTGACAGGGGTTCCCCAAAGTAACTCCACGACAGCTTGGTGGGCACCCCAACCCCACCAGACCAGTGGAAACCAGAGTTTTCCATTTTAAGTGATTAGTGGTGCAAACTGTCTTGCATAATAAAGAATGGCTGTTTACAGTTTTCTGCCCAACCAAGCATTTATGGATTGAAGTGTTGACATATGTTCATACACTGAAATAATGCGCAGGGATTATTTCGAGTATGTTCCTAAATAATAGATGTGTCTCTAGGGTTGCTTCCATGTTGGATGTTAGGACTGGCTCCCCTATAATCTCTCCAAGTTGGGGGTGGTTACATTTCTGGGGTCCCAGTTATGGACCCCCAAAAAAGGTCTCCCACATTTATACCCTCCCACCCGTCCTGAGTGTGAACACCTCTACATGCTGTAAGAGTGAAAGTTGGTGCAAAGGGTGCTCATCATGAGGGGAAGGAGTCCCCCACCCCCTTTGTACCACAGGTCCCCATCCTCAGGCACCAAACCCATCCTTACAGGCCACTGATCCCAGCCCTAGTAGGGCATCACCAAGGGTCTCAGAGTCTCCTTTCCCTGGTCTGTTCCTGCAGCTCTCCACAGGAGCAAAAAAAGTTGTTAGCACTGCCTAGAGACACCAGCAGCTGCTGCTAATGCTCTTTGGAGAGGAGGACTCTGTCAGCAGTGATTCAGATGGGGGGGGGGGAACCCACTGTTTGAAAACATTTCCGCACCCTCCTCAGTGACCTCTGTGTGGCAGAGTACCAAGTGTGCAACACCCATGACCGGAGGGGTGCAAACTCCCAACATCTGCCCTCCTCCATCCTCCGCAGGCACCTGCAAAATTTGCATCCCGGTATGTTGCTGCCAGAAGAAAGAGTGGCGGCCACTGGGAGGAAGAAGAGGCCCACTCGCTCTCAGCAGGGAGACGCGGAGGGGAAGCAGGAGGCCCATCCAAGACATGCTCCCTGCACTCGGGCCGCCATGAGTGGGACATCAAGGCAGGCCACCCTCCAAGAGGTCAAAGGGGCTACGTGGATGGTCCGGGAAGCAGTAGCTCGCCTCATTGGCAAGATGATTGCTGTGGATGGCCAACCCTTCTCCATTGTGGAGGATGTAGCCTTTCTCCAGCTGCAGTGGCGATGGTCAAGGCTCAGGTCTCCAGAGCACAAGGCAGAACCGTGTACTTCACGGCAGACCTCTGGAGCAGCCAGCAGGACTGTCATGGCACAGCCCAAGCCCCAGAAGGGGGCAGTCCTGCCACTGGGCTACAAAGTGGTTCTGCTCCATGTGCAGGGGACGGATGCAGACCACATGGTGCAAAACACTGCTGCTGTGTGATACAGAGTAGCTTGAGGGATTGGGGGGGGGGGTGGCAGCAACATCCTCTGTGGCTACATGGTCACAGATGCCAGCCCCAACATGCTGGCAGAATTCCATAACAGATGTTAGTAGCTGTTGGTGATCCATTGGGTAATAGCTGAAGGCCATACCAGCTTATCCCTTTCTGGTGGAGCCATACAGTAACTGACAGTTATGGTGAAGGAACTGGAATAAATTCTCAGCAACCGCTGACAACTTGGGAAGCAGCTGAAACCAGGCTGCCTTTGCCCTTTGTGTCAGAGTTCTTGCTGAAATATTGGGATGGGAAAGAGAAGAAGAGAATCTTCCGCATGAAATTTTGGTTGGAAGAACAGAATCAGTTCCCAGCCAGGTTGTTCAGCTGGCAGATGGGGTGAAGCTGCATGACTATTCATTGCTATAGAAAAAGGACAATAGCACATTATTAGTAGTGAGATACCAATCATAGCAAACTGGATGCTCTCCAAGTAAAAGAGAGCAGACCATGACAATGCGTGATCCAACAGATTTTTAAAGATAGATTAAAATTCCTCTTCATTAATTATGAGCCCACACAATACACTCCAGTTTTTAATCTAGAAATACCTATGTACACATTGAGCCCGGCAGGAAGAAAAATAACTAATAAAGCTAATAAAGTTTAGTATTTGGATTAGATCACACTCCTAAATGTAGTCTATTAAACACAAGGGAAAACAATAACCAAAAGCCGCTTTTAAACTGGGTTTTTAGAAGATTGAACAGTGCATTAAAATGCTTATTGTGCTCTGCTAATTCTAAACTTTACCAAGTTGCATCTTTGCCAGGTGTATCTTCCTTATTGTAGTTTGCATAGCATCTCTTTTCAGGTGGTTCTAATTTGATTTCTCTCTCTGAAGGAACAACTGAACTAAAACATTTTCTTACCTCACTAACTGTTGTTAGCGCTCTTCCCCATTTGTGTGTTTTTATGCATATACATATATATAGTTGTAAATATATTTTATATAAATTGGTTTTGTCAGTACTTTTTAATGTTTTAACGTTCATTGCCTTGGGGACCCTGAATTGGCTGGAAAAGTGGCATAGAAATGTTTTAAATAAATAAATGACTGAAGTTGAAGCTTAACAATCTAACTATAATGAGATAAACAAGGTCCAAAATAATCAGGGAGATAGCTGATGTAATATCAACAGGTTATATCACTGTAGTAGGATTGAGAAACATTTAGAACACCATTTCACTGGTGTTATGAGTCCTTGCTGGCTCAGAAGTAGATACAAAGCATATGAGCTTCTTTGTTTAATTAAGGCAACACCTGTGTATGATATGCACACAGGTCTGCTCCTGTTTTTGAAGTGAGTCAGGAAATATGTTCATGCTGGAGCTCCATTTGTGCTTTAGACCATGCGTGGAGTTCTGGAATGAGGCTAGTTTCTATACTGTCGTCTTATTTTATGAACTAAACCCAGAATTTGAACATCAGAGTAGGGCTGTGCTTCCTAGAATGTATACGTAACACTGGTTTGTTCAACCTAGTGAGCAATTAATCCACCAAACTTAGTAGGCCACATTGGGTTCTCCTTGGAAATCACCACAGAACTCATAATTGCTATACATTTATAAGTTACTTCTGAACATTCTCCCATAGGTCTTATGTCAACTTACTCGCTGAAGAGCTGGACTCTTGTCTGCTTTTGTAGCAGTCTTTTCATTGGTTAGTTCTTATGTACTGTACTGACTATGCCCTTTGAGACATAAAATTTGCTCTCCCTTAAATGTAACCAGAGCCAGTGAGGAATTCTGATCTGTACAATGAGAGTGCCCTTATTATCTTTTGGTTTTTTTATTTCTTTATGCAGGTTATTCACAGCAAACACTTTTGATGTCATCAGTGGTGATGCTTTCATGGGCCTTCCTCATCTAGAATATTTGTGAGTGGGAAAATTTATGATCCAAGAATCCTGGAGTATATTGAGTATCTGAGCTATAGACATTGCTTTGATCAAACTGCATTTATGACCCATTACAGGTTCATAGAGAACAACAATATCAAGTCACTTTCAAACACCTCATTCCGAGGACTGAAATCTTTAATTCATCTGTAAGTAAATGTCATCATTTTGTTGCCTGGCATATTTAGATAAGTAATTGGCAGTGCAGTCTTAAGTAGAGTTAGTCAATGGGCTCAGAAGGGTATAACTTTGTTTAAGATTGCATTATGAGTTTTTGACGCTGTCAACCAATTAAAAGCTTTTTAGCGGATTACCTGCCTTACCATTCATCAGCTGGTTTGTGAGTAATATCAATATCATTAGCCTGACTCCAACAAGATAAGCAACTATGTCCTTGCAACCAAGTCAATTTTGGGCAAACTGCTTCTGAAACTTAAGGATGTTTCAAAAGGAAGTTGTGATATGACGCTGGGCTTTCCGTTCAAAGTGACAAAAATCCCAATGGCTACACCCCTGCCCTTGGACATACCTAGAGTAGCTCTTTGGAACTCAGCTGGAGTAATATATGTGTTAATTTTTGTGCATAATGTGTTTTCAGTCAGTGAACTGAAGAAATGATCACTTATAGCATTATATTGGTTGTGATTTAGAAAAGCAGATCCACTATAAAATAGTAGGGATATACAGCCAGATATAAACTAATTAAAATCATATAATTTTTAATTAATTAATGCTTTTTATAAAACTGAAATTGATATCTAGTAATATTACAATCTAATCTTAAATAGAGTTGTACCAATTGACGTCAGTGGAGTTATAACTCTGTTGAGGATTGTCCTGTTTGTTAATATCCAGACCTTTTGTTTTAGAGGTCATGGAGGTCAAAAGGAAAAGAAAGGGGGAAAAAGGGGAAATAATGTAATTACATGGAAGCTTCCGTTTCCTCCCATTTACTGGGTAGGCAGGAAGGGATACTGGGTCTAATGCCAGGGCTACTGCCCACCCAGGCAAGGAACTATAATGGGCTAGTGGTCAGGGAACCTTTCTTCCCCCAACACTCCCAGAACCTCACATGCCTTTTCTGATGTGTTTAAGGCTCTGGGCATTGGTACACCCTGGAAAATAGTAATGTTAGCACCTGGGGACTCAGTTTCCCAGATATCGCTCAGCCACAGACCCCCACGCATCACAAAGAATACCCACGACCCTGAATGGGGGGGGGGATCAAAAAGATTCTCTGACTGGGATTTGGTGCATCAGCACCAAATTGCATAGTGAGTGGGTGGGGGGGAGAGGAGGGAGGAGTTGAGTAAAATGAGAAGAATAGCAAAAATAAGTAGCCTTAATCACAAACATAACAAAGGCATTCTTTAGAATGAAAACAGAAAACAATTGTGCACATTTGTGCCCATGTTTTTTCTGCAGTTTTCATTTCAGTCACTCAGTAAGAACCTAGTTTTTATAACTCCACAAGTTTTCACTGCTGAAAGGGAGATTGCAGGACATAGCAAATGTACGTGCAGATATTTCATGCATAGATTTGGGATCATGGTGATTGGCTCCTGTTCTTTCCCCCAAAGAATCTAAAGAGAGAAGTACTGACCTTTGTTCATGGCCTTTTCAAATCAAAATATGACTGCTTTTGTACATGATCAGAAACCAAGTTTATCTATGTCACATTAATTATTCTAAATATTTTCTCCCAATAAGCCTGCTTTCTGCACCTTTGAATGTGCCAAAACATGCCCCAAAGGAAGAGCTTAGGCAGTTTTTATTGGACAAGGTGCTGTTTCTTCTGGATTTAACCATAACAAACACAGATGAAGTTAATTATGCAGACAGTGGAAATTTTAGACAGAAAGAAGTTACAGAAGAAGAATGCTAGCCAATTTAATCTCTGTTTCATCCAAGAACTGTATCTTCTTAATCACCCATTTCTGATGCTCACTATAGTGATAGAATAGTCTTTCCTCTGAGGATGAACTAGACCTCTATTGTTTAAAGTACATCAAACAGACCTGTGATCATTATTAAAATAGTCTGTAAAATGATGGCTGGTGGTGATCTTGGATTCATACAGAGGACCCACATCATTTTCTTTCTTGTAAAACTTTATGTAAGAGCAAATATTTTACATTCTTGTAATCATAATATGACCCTTCATTATAGCAGAGAGGCATTTGAAAGTGCCTATAAAAAGACAATTTATTTCCAGGTGGATTTTTTTAAGTCTAGCAGCTTTGACATTTTTAATACCATAGGAAGAACATCAATTTAATTTTGGGGTTTTGTGTGTGTGTGTGTGTGTGTGTGTGTATGTTTATGTACAGCATGAAACTTTGCATCTTTGCAATTATTCACACAAAAAATAAACATAGCATACATTTTGATCTGTAAAGACTAATTATCTTAAAGTACTGGCAAGATAATGGATAATCTCACATTCTCTGCAATTGTACTGGAGGCCAGAAAAACAAGTGGAAGTGTAAATGCCTTAACAGTGGTCCATGAACACTGAGACTGTAGTAAAAGAGGTATTCTGAGAATTTTTTTTTTTAAACTCACTGTAGTGTGTGGCTTCATTTCATCCAATAGGCTGGACATAAAGGAAAGGATGATCTAACACTAATAATAAAACTTCTTCTTTTGTAGGAGTCTTGCAAACAATAATCTTCAAACACTCCCCAAAGACATATTCAAAGACTTGGATTCCTTAACAAACATGTAAGAAAGCATCATAATTTTCACAATATGATTTCTAGAAGCAGAGATCATTGCTTAGTGTAATTACAGATCTGTGTGGTCATCATGTGACAGGTGTAATCCTTGCACATTAAAATTGTTGTTGTTACCATTATTTCCCATCACCTTGTCAACCTGAATTCAAGCACTCACTAGATACTCTCATTTTAAGATGATTTCTTAGGGCATGTCCCTTTTCACAAAATAGCATGAACTTCCAAGGACCCTCAACTTTTCTTTTTAACTGTTTTTCTCTCCAGCTTCCCCAGCAAGTGTATTCTAAAATCCAGGCAGAAACCAAGTAAATGGCTGCATGGCATGTGCAATGGGTTGCATGGAACTGCATGTTGGAGAGAACTAAGGATGTAGCAGTGCTGCAGTTGCTGTGTTTGCCACAAGGCTTCGCAGTGCCAGTAAGGCAGGCTTGATTCTCAACAGCACAGCAGCCTGTCTCTTCAACCAGGGGACCTGCTGCCTTGAAATCAGTAAATATGTCCCTTTTGGGAATCCTGCCTATAGTCCACAATTCAAAAAAAGACTCTTTAGAAATGTGCCGAGGCTTTTACACATGTACACAGACAGACCTACATAGATGATAAATTGATTAATTGGTTGATAGGAGTCTGAAGAGTACAGCAGGGCACACTATTTCATCTTGTACATTTTGACAAGATTCGTTTGGTGTGCACATAGTCCAAGGCACACTGATTATTAAAAGTTCCAAAATGAGACAGAATATGCAATGTGACATTGCCCTCAAAATAGTGGCCAGTGTTCCAGCAGAGAGCAAGACAAGCTATATATCTAAAGAAATGCATTAGGATGGCAGTAAGAGCCAGTTTGGTGTAATGGTTAAGAGCGGCAGACTCTAATCTGGACAACCGGGTTCGATTCCCCACTCCTCCACTTGAAGCCAGCTGGTTGACCTTGGGTCAGTCATAGTTCTCTCAGCCCCCAAAATAAACCTAGCTTGCCACAAAGAGCTAGAGTTTCAGGCTGCCAGGCAATCTTTGTATCTCCTGGCTATACTACACCCACTGCCATATGTTAATTAATTAAGGTAGCAGTCCACACACACACGGCAATCCCCACACACAGCCTCCAGCTGGGGAGAATATGATGTGCAAAGTTTGCTAATGGCAGGGTTAAGTACATTTATGAATCTCTCCCATTGGAATCAACAGGACTTAAGTGTCTTTCATTGTGGCCAGTCTGTTCCCCTAGTTGCAAAAGGGATCATGAGTGAAAGGGCGACAATGCTATTGTCCCCGCTCGCGGGGAGGGCGGGGTATAAATAAAATAAAATAAAATAAACATTTATTTTCCAGGAACTTTTTTTTTAATGGACAATTAATATTTTAAAAGCACTTGCATTGCTCCAGCAAATGATCTCGTTTTTTTTCTAGAGACCTCAGAGGAAATGCATTCACCTGTGACTGCAAGTTGAAATGGTTAGTGGAATGGGTGAGCAGAACAAACACGACAGTAGAAGATGTTTATTGTGAAAGCCCACCTGAGTATAAAAAGCGTAAAATCAACAACCTCTCCCCAAATGAATTTGACTGCATTATTACAAGTAAGCCTTTGAAACGCCTCTTTTTAATTGCATTAATAATTGTGGCATATTTTCAAATCTAAATCCCACATCTCCGAGCTGCCTGGAAACAGAGTGTTTAGTCAAGTCAGGGTTTGGCAAAAAATTTTCCCACAGGTGACCCTATATTTTTTGTTCAGATGCTGTTAGGAGAATTTAAAAAAAAAAAAGATGTAATAGAAACAGTCCACCAAAGACTGATTACACACAGCTAGCATTCATTCCAGTAGGGCTTCCCTTGCAGCAGTCTTCCATGATGCGTAGCATACGATCCCTCTTTTTAAAATGAGTTGTAGATCATTAGGAGGAGGAGATTGGATTTATACCCCACCCTTCACTTGGAGTCTCAGAGCAGCTTACAAACTCCTTTCCTTCCCCCTCCCCACAACTGACACCCTGTGAAGTAATTGGGGCTGAGAGAGCTCTTTCTGGAACTGTCCTTGAGAGAACACCTCTGACAGAACTATGGCTTACCCAAGGTCATCCAGCAGCTGCAAGTGGAGGAGTGGGGTATCAAACCTGGTTCTCCCAGATTAGAGTCCGCATACTTAACCACTACACCAAAACACTACATCGAATAACAAAGCTGAGGGGTAGTCTACTGGCAGAGAATCCTGAAAGCTGTAAATCCCATCGAGTTCAATGGGACATACTCCCTGATAAATGTGTCTAGGATTGCAGCCTTAGTGATGTAGTTGTTTGGAAAATCCCTGAAGATTTGGGGGTGGTACCTGGGAAGAATGGAGTCGGGGGAGGGAGCTCTGTAGGGTGTGATTCCATAGAGGTTACCCTCCAAAGCTGCCATTTTCTCCAGGAGAACTGATCTTTGGGGTCTGGAGAACAGTTGTAATTCTAGGAGAACCCCAAGCCCCACCTGGAGTCTGGCAACCCTTCCTATAGGGTTACCAAGTCCTACCTTCTTCTGGAGTAGGGGACTCCCGGGTTGGTCCTGGAGCGCGCATGCAGCATGCGCATGCCGTATCCACATCACCCAGAAGTGACGCGACCACGCCGGGCGTGCTGGGGGTGGGGCCATGACCATCTGAGGGAAAACCATAGAGTGTTCCCTCGGATGACCGTGGCCCCGACCCCAGCGTGCCTGGCGTGGTCGTGTCACTTCTGGGTGACATGCACGTCACATACTTTGCGGTGGGGTTCCCCCTGGGGCCCGATCTGCCGGCGGCGGGGAACGGGCCTCTGGGGCGGGTGTTTCCCCGCCCCCCGGGGGGACTTGGCAAGCCTACCTTCCTAACATCCTTTTTTTTAAGTTTAGTTTAATTATGATAGTCGTGGCCTACTTCCTGTACATAACTCCAGGATATTACATAAGATCATATAAAGTGACTAACTGGGTGTCAGATTAATAGAAATGCTGTTTACTTAAGGTAACACTGACGTGAGACTACATTCACAACGTACACTCTTATCTCTATATTTTGAATGGCTGAGATTTACAACAATGTTGAATAAAACTTTGTTGATTTTAAAGGTGCCACTGGATTCAAATTTTGTCCTCCTAAAACTCCTGTTAGTCTTTAAAGTGATACCCGACTCAAATCTCATTGTTCTACTGTAGACGGTCCAATACAGCTACCCTCTGAAACTATCTTCACATAAATAATGACTACCATAGAAGAAATAACTGCCCACTGGCCCCCTTCTTTCAACTTCAAGCAAATTGGTTGTAGCCAGGGCTGCCAAGCCTCTGGTCAGGGCAGGGTATCCCCTGCCCCGAGTGCCCACTGCCTGCAGCTGCTTGGAGTGGGGGGGTGCGGGATTAAAAATAAAGATTTGAAAAACATTTTAAAAACTCACTGGTAGTGCGAGCAGAATGACATCACTTCCAGGTATAACCCAGAAGTTACAGTGGCTGTGGTAAAACTATAGAGTTTCCAGTGATTCCTAGAGCTACCCATTGTCAGTTTCAGGTTATACACAGAAGTGACATCATCATGCTTGCAACGATGCCCCCACCTACCATGTCCCCACTCGTCATTTACTACCTGGCAACCCTAGTTGTAGCTGTGATTTCATATAGGCCATGATTGAGTAACATGTTGTAAATTAGAACTTTCTTTCTTTCCACGAATGCATTTGCTTCCTTGAATGCTTTATGGCATTCAGTCTGCACAATGTAGAACTTTATTAGTCAAAAATGAGTGTTATGTTTGTACCTAGTGGTTTGAGGAGACAGCACTTGGCTTATGTTTTACCAGTACTAAGTATAGAAGCTCTCATGGCTTTAGCCTCATCTTTTACCATCAGTCAACTTTTAAAAAGGTAAAGGTAAAGGTTTCCCTTGCTCAAAAGCCAGTCGAATCCAACTCTAGGGGGCGATACTCATCTCCATTTCCAAGAGCCAGTGCTGTCTGAAGACGTTTCCATGGTCATGTGGCCGGCCTGACCAAACGCCAAGGCGTACAGAACGCTGTTACCTTCCCACCAAAGTGGTACCTATTTATCTACTTGCAGTTTCTTGATTTCGAACTGCTAGGTTGGCAGGAACCAGAGACGGGAGCTCACTCCATCATGCAGCACTAGGGTCCTGAACTGTCGAACTAAAGACCTTCCAGTCTGCAGCTCAGCGTCTTAACCTCTGAGCCACCGCAGCCCCCAGTCAACTTTTACTGTGCTATAATTATACATGAACTAATGTAATTCTGCTTCAAAGATTGTGGTGGGAAGGGATGTAGTCGGGAACTAATTATTCAGCCAGGCTGCATCAACCTGCTACTTGCTTCTAAGTGAAAGGTTTGACTACTTTAAACTACTGAATAATGCACCAGAAAAAATGCATTTTAGAAAGCCATTCTTGTATGTGAGATGTTAACATAGCTTTGTATGAAAGGGACTGAATGTCATCTTTTGATGTGCACTTTTCCAGAATTTGTTGTTTTTCGAAAGTTGCCATATCAGTCTCTGTCAGTAGAGGCCTTCTCGTACATGGATGATGAATATGTGGTTATTGCCCAGCCTTTTACTGGAAAATGTGTCTTTCTTCAATGGGACCATGTGGAAGGGACATTTAGGAATTTTGACAACATTACAGGTATGAATAAATCATCCTTATGAGGATCATGCAGCCTGTCTAAAATCCAAATGCTGATGCCCTGTTCTATCTCTCTTTGTACAGGGACCTCCGTGGTTGTCTGCAAGCCTGTAATTTTTGAGAATCACCTGTACATCATTGTTGCCCAGCTGTTCGGTGGTTCCCACATATACAAAAGAGACGTTCACACAAATAAATTTATAAAAATTCAGGATATCGAGATTCTCAAAATTAGAAAGCCGAATGACATTGAAGCATTCACCGTTGCAAAAGACCAGTACTTTGTCATCGCGGACAGTTCCAAAGCTGGCATCACCACTGTTTACAAATGGAATGGAAACGGGTTTTATTCTGATCAGTCTCTGCATGAGTGGTACAGAGATACAGACGTGGAGTACCTGGAAATCGCTGGCAAGCCTCACTTGATCTTGTCAAGTAGTTCTCAACACCCTGTCATATATCAGTGGAACAAAGTAACAGGGAAATTTGTTGAACCAACTAATATACCAGATATGGAGGATGTCTATGCTGTAAAGCACTTCATGGTAAAAGAGGATATCTATGTATGCTTAACCAGATTCATTGGTGATTCCAAAGTAATGAAGTGGGGAGGTTCGAAATTTCTGGATTTACAAAGGATGCCGTCACGAGGGTCGATGGTATTCCAGCCTCTTCAGATAAGGAATTATCAATATGCTATCCTTGGAAGTGATTATTCTTTTACTCAGGTTTATTACTGGGAGGCAGGAAAGGCCAAATTTGTGAAGTTTCAAGAATTAAACATACAGGCGCCGAGGTCTTTCACACATGTGTTTGTCGATAAACAAGATTTTCTCTTTGCTTCGAGCTTTAAAGGGAATACGGTGATTTATAAACATATTATAGTTGACCTAAGTGCATGACACACATGCACAGTGTGGATTCTGTTGCAAGACTTCCTCCTGCGGTAACACGGACCAAGGGAACTAACTGCATGATGATGATTCCCTTTACTTCCAGTCTGCGAATGCCTTTAACACTCAAGGTTACTAAAATAAAGTACTACAAGTAACTTCATCCTTAAATGTCAAGTCTTGTGCTGTTGGCAACTTGCATTTTTAAAGAAAGACAAATCCAACTGTTAACTGTCCTTTGCAACCGCTGTGTAAATAGGTAGTGAAACTGCATCTCTTTTAGGTGGGGAAACAAACAATAAGATGTAATTTTTCATTGTTCACCTATTTGAAAACAACTGCCAAATAAAATGTTTACATTTTCTTTCATATTCCATATAGTGGGGTTTTTTCAGTGACCATTTTTATCGGCATATGCCGTTCTTCCAGTTCAGTACTTTCCTGTAGACAGGGCAGCCAAACACCAAATGACACTGAAGAGGAACACCATACATTTTAATTGCCCCATCTGCACAGTGCATGTTTCCCAATCACAGGTCCTGTCCTCCTGCTGCATATGATGAAAATTACACTGCTGTTACATTTCTTTATCCCATTATAGAGGATAAAGGTTATAAGTCCTAGTATGGGAAAAGAAGTGGCCCAATATCTGGTGTTCCCCCCTTCCAGGGCTTAAAGCATCTGGGGAAGCATTGTTGATCAGGGAAACAGTGTAGTGGGGGGTTAACCCCCCTTTCCCAGTGCCCCTGACCAATGTTCCCTCTAAGCTGTGGAGTCTTGTGAGCAAAAATTCTACTTTGTGAGCTACTGGCATTAAAGTTGTGAGCGAGTGATTTGGCTACTGCTTAACCTAGTTTGCTCTGGAGCCATCCTTCCTGAGCCGAGACAAAAATGTGTGAGCTGGAGGCTAAAAAAATGTGAGCTAGCTCACACTAACTCAGCTTAGAGGGAACACTGCCCCTGACCTGATCTGCACTGCTTGCCATAGCTGCTTTTGAGGGGCAAATAACATGTATTGGGTTCCACTTCAGCCTTAAAGTGCCCCAAATTTCTGACATCCTTACAGTTGCCTGGCCCAGCTGGGCAAACAGCAGGAGACCAGGGGGACAGGGACATTGGTTGGCTGTCAGCAACAGCATGATATCACTTCCAGGAAAACACTGAAGGTGATGTCACACCTCTCTAGGAAACATCAGAAGTTCTATGGTAGAACCATAAAGTTCTCAGTGATTCCTGGAGAGAACTGGCATCACTTCCAGGGAAAACTGCACTTTGGTCAATGCTACGGTTTTACCATAGAATTTCTGGTGATTCCTAGAGAGAAGTTACTTTGCTTTCAGGTATCCCCAAAAGTGACACCATTGGCCCAACGGATATTTTTATTATATTTTGTTATACATGAGTAAGTAACCCTAGGCTTGCTGGTATTGTTACATTGTTTTATCTGTACTTTTCTAGTTACCAAATACATATCACTCTGAATATGAGAACCTTTGGGCACAACCTAGCAGGAAGTTCTTCTGTACCAATGAAAGCCCATAAACTTGGGGATGTGGTTTTTGCATAGCTCCTATTCATTGTCGTGACTTTCACAGAAGAACTTCCTGCTGGACTGTGCCCTTTATATTTCACTTATGATAACTGCTTACACACCCATGCTAGGGGAAAAAAAATTAGTTTACGATGGTAGTAGAGATGCCAACCTGCAGGTGGGGCCTGGAGCTCTTCCAGAATCACAACTGATCTCCAGCTTACAGATCTGAGTTCCCCTGGAGGAAATGGCAACTTTGGAGGACAGACTCTGTGGCATCATATCTCTGTTGAGCTCCCTCCTTTCCCCGAACTCTGCTCTCCCCAGGCTTTGCCCCCAAATCTCCAGGAATTCCCCAAGCTGGAGTTGGCAACCCTTGATGACCTTCTTGTAACAATGCAGACAAGGTTACATTTTAAAAATACCACCTTGTTAATAACTGGGGCTCCAGATTTGTGCAAAGTTACTTGGGAACAAGCACCACTTAACTCAGTAAGATTTACTTCAAAATAAACATGCATAGGTCCAGGCACAAATGTTATGGAGTAATGTTACATATAAAGGCCACAGTATACTGCAGACTGGGGGCCTAACTATACATTATATTATCCGCACAATGACCTCCATGTCTCCACCACAAGGACTTTTGATCAGACTAATCCAGTTCAGCTCAGGATCATGACACACTGTAAGAAAAGCCCCCCCCCCCCGGTTTATCTAAAGCAAGGTCCTCCTTGGCTAATATTTGGAAGGGCAGCCCCTTGCCTCTTTAGGGAAACTAGCATGTACTGGCAGCTGCAGATAGGGTTCTGCAATGGGGTCAGCAGCAGCTCCCCAGAGTCATTACAGAACAGGAAAATGCTGCTGGGGGGAAAGCTGAAGTCCCCTTTCCCGGGGTACTACGTCCCAGTTCAAATCAAGCCCCCATACACATGGAAATTGAGTGTCCAGTGCGGGACTCAGAAAGAACATCTGATCTAAAAGCCTCGTGGTGAATGCAGGAAAAATACAAGGAGAATGTAATATATAATCCCTTCAGGTATACATAAATCTGTTAAATTATAATTTTCATATATGGTCTATCATATTTTATTATTATTATTTGCATGCTATATATATATATGTAAAAATTATAGATAACTCGACATAGGTTTCAGATCTAATAGTCTTGTACCAATAAGGGCTTGCTCATATGCTGCCACAAAAGGAAAATGTTGACAGTTGTATGCAAAGGTTCTGTTCTGTAAAGGTGGATCCTTCCCCCTGATGCAAGGAGCCTCGTACCAGCAGAAGAGACACATTCCATAGATGGAAGGCTCCACAGTTAGTGGAATGGATCTTTTGGAGCACTTAGCAGCTAAGAATTTGAATAGGGGCTGTGGCTCAGTGAAAGAGCCTCTGCTTCATGTGCAGAAGGTCCCAGATTTAATCCCTGGCATCTCCAGTTCAAAAGATCTGCCACTAGTAGACCCCAGAGAGCTACTGCCAGTCTGAGTACACAATGCTGACCTTGATGGTGTGATAGTCTGATTGAGTATAAGGTAGCTCCATGTGAGTTCAGTTTGTGAACTTTTGGGAGAATGTTGTTTGGCAGATACGTACTCCTTAGGTGCCTTCTCTTATATGCAAAGATCCACCAAGAGGCTAGAAAGATAAGCAAAAAGCATAAAAATAAACCAAACAAGCTTCTATAATTTTTATTTATAAAATTTATATCCCCCTTTCTGCACTCCCAAGGGCCGCCAAGGCAGTTAACAAAGCATACATAATAAAACCACATTTTAAAAACTTTAAAGCCAACCAAAAACCCATGACACAGGCATCAGTAAATCTGTGTAGCGTATAGGATAAAGGTTCCAATTGCTACTGCTGAGGCCCTCAGAAGGAGGGGAGATGGTTGCCAGGCACACACACACCCCATAGCGCTTGGGTCCAAATTGAATTGGGGGCTGCCTCTCTCCACCACTTTGAAAACACTTGGGTTTAAACAGTGCATGCACACACAAATAAATGATACCTTTTTTGTACTACATCGGGAAGTGTTAAGTAGTCTAATATGCAAGGTGAAGGGTGAATTTGTGACAGTTCAGCAGTTTCCCTTTATCAGTATTATGTCTACACTCTAGTAGAATGTTATGGTTTCCTAGAGAGAAAAATTTCAAATGATACAGTGCTTTTCAGGCTCATTATTGTTGTCCATCTCCAAGCTGTAAAACATTCTTCTGCTCCTTCTAAAGAGACTAGATCCACAGTTGATTGTTCAAAATATACCGGCATGTTGTTCAATGTTTATTCTATTTACTTTGCTGGCAATCAAAATGCTAACAGAGGGAATACACACACTTCTTAACGAAGGCAAATAATAAATGTAGCATGATATGAAATGGTTCAGATAATGTAACACCGAATCTGACAGTATGCAAACCACTGTGAAAAATGTCTGAGGCACCCTAAAGTGAAGGGCAGATCTAGCCAGAGAAAAAAAATCTGTCGCCTACATTAATACATAAGAATGTAGCATTGACCACTCACTAACAATCATCAGATGTCTTCTCCCTTCGTTCTGTCCCAGCAACTGTACTATCCAGGGAATTATACTTCAAAGTCAACCATCCAGATTCCTGGCACAGTATTTGTTCAAATCTTTCTCATGTGAATATTTCCTGGAATAAGACTGCTGGCATTGTGGGCCTCCTGGAATTCTCTCTTGCTGCTGCATTGTTATGAAGAAACATCAGAAAACGGGGCAGACACAGGACACATGCAGTCTAAAATGGAGACTCTCGCTGAGCTTTACTTAAGTCTAGGACTGTTTATTCTTATTTCGGAGACGAATGGAGAAGTAACAAGGCACAAAGTGGCATGTGCTCTTTCAGACACCACACCCACAGAAGCAGCTGGAATAATTAAAAAGCTACACAATATCAGTTACAAAACATCTCATACAAAAGAATGATCTTTACCTCCCCCAAATATTTTTCTCACTATGCATTCCTTGACTGTTTTTCAGATCTCATTTGAGTGGGATATGAAAACCTCATGATTGTAAAGGGTTTTAAAATAAAGCTTCATTCTGGAGTATTTTACCACACAGATAATTAGCAGATGCAAAAACCCTAATGCGTTGTTTGTCCTCCCAAAGTAGGGAGAAGGATGTGTGCTGGGTGCAAAGTCTAACACCTTCACCTATGAGGAATGTGGGGTTTCTTCTCTCATCTTGGCATATGAAATTATAGCTCAGCTTTCAGAGTTATGCTAGCCTTGAACCTTCTCCCTAAATAGATTATTTTTATTAGTAAAACTCAGATTGCAAGGCATCTATAAAGGCAATCAATCCAGGTAATAAAACAAATATATTTCTAAGGTCCACTCTTGACTTTCTGTTGGTGGTAGTTTTGCTGAGGAATTCTTTAAGACTCCAGAAAGTTCTTGGCTAAAGAACTGCACCTATATACTGATCATAATTGCATCAAAGCCA